TCCTGCTTCCTCTTTCTTCTCTACAATCTCTTCCTTCATTAAGAGACTTAACAGTTTCCAAATATGAGGATGCACATCTGTAACTGAGCTTTGTATCACAATAGAAAAGCCTGTTATGTTGTTGTTTGTTCTTGGCATATTGTCACCTGCCCCTTTGAGACATTCCAAAGCTCTATGGGAAACACGGGTTCAAACTCTGTGTCACTGTACGAAGGCTAAAATTTATGTAACATAAAATGGGAGTACTGCATCAACGAAGAAATAAAACCAAACTGTCAACCAGTTGATGAAACCAACAAACTACCAAACCAAAAGTGCAACCAGTTGTTTTTAATCTCTTATGGCCAAATTGCCTTTACCATTTATTCATGCAGCTGAATATTTGTAGCAAAAATACTTGCCGCAAGGATGCTTATGGTGAAACTACCTAGAACCAGTCTGTGTGCCCTAAGGAAACTAACACTTTCCACAGTGTTAGTCTCACAGATCCAAACCAGCCAAGTGGTAACAAATGTCACAAAAATAAGGAACCATTTTTAAAACCTGTGCAATTTTCTCAAATGACTCATCGTGGAGCTGACAATTGAATTTTTGCCTCCCAGTTTGGAATGCCAGGGAGGAATTAGCTTTTTCTTTGAAGTGATAAAAATTTTTAGAAATACTGGTGGTGGTGGTTACACAACACTGTGAAAGTAATTGATGCCAATGAAATGTATACTTAAAAATGGTTGAAGTGGCAAATTTTATGTACATTTTACCACAATAAAAAGAATTCAAATGATGTTGGTGGAGTTTTTTCTTGGGAGAAGAGTATTTTTAATGTCCTTGTTTAGCCCTCTTAAATATGTTCCCCAGTTTTATTGTTTTTTTTTTTTTTTTTTTTTTTTACATTTTATTAATCTAAGAAATCCTCAAGTCTTGAGGCTACTTCATCTATATTGAGAAGTAACCTATATTCTAGTACCCTATTGAGTACCCTAGTACCCTATTGAGAAAGTAACCAATACTAACACTGGTTATTTTGCAGAATCTGCAATTCACTTTTAAAAGACAGATTTTAAGGGGTGCCTGGGCTCAGTAGGTTAAGCAGGCAACTTCGGCCTAGGTCATGATCTCAGGGTGAGTTCAAGCCCCGCGTCGGGCTCTGTGCTGACAGCTCAGAGCCTGGAGGTGCTTCGGATTCTGTGTCTCCCTCTCTCTCTGCCCTTCCCCAGCTCACGCTGTGTTCTCTCTGTCTCTGAAAAATGAATCAACATGAAAAAAAATTTTTTACAAGGCAAACTTCGATTTGTAACACCTTCTCTTTTTTTCTGTTACATACATTTCTTTGGCAACGAACTGCTAAATAATAATAATAATAATGACACTTTTAAAGGAATGAAAAACAATGGGTAATAGTCCAATACCATATTTTTAAATTGTTTTTCTGCAACTAATTGCTTTTGTCCTATTGTTTAAAAGACTTCATATAAATTACACAGCAATGCAAATATCTGTTGTTTGGTCATGCCGATGCTTTCATAATTTGGTGAAACTGAATGATGTCCTCTAGATTTCACAGCAGAATCTGTAAAATAATAATGAGGGCCTGCTGTTTCCCCTGGAGACAACTGTGGTCTTTGAAGGGTATCAAATCTGTCAAGTCACTGTCTTGGACACTAATAG